ACTAAACACTTAATGACATCCAGGGTCCACATTGCCATTGCTGTGTAAAATCATAACAACATGTGAGAAAAAGTCATTTCTTAGTATTGCTACTGTCATTGCATGAGTGCATGCACTCATGGTATCCACAATAAGGGATATACATACTTATGCATGTTATGTAAACATGCAAACACGAAGTCACGCTTGCACTGCCTGGCATTCTATTATGGGAGATTCCAAACACAGCACCTCATGCCCGGCGCACAGTAGTCGGGATCGGAATCGGAACTCTTCGGGTTTCTTTTTATTTCCTTTTCACGGATGTGGACGCGTCCTCATTCTATTCGATTTCTTTCTGTGACTAACAAGCATGCTCATTTGATTCGATTTCTTTCTGTGGGCGACTAGGCGTGCTCGATTTATTCAAATTTGTTTCTGTGGGCGATGAGGCGTGCTCATCTTATACGACTAATGGCCTCCACATGTCTAAATGTTCCTTTTTGGCTTGCAGTTACGTCCCCTTTACTGTTGAAGATTTATGGTTTTTTGTTCAGGCAATTTCTGAACCTAACCAGATACAGAACCTCCTAAATTTGTCTAAGTTTATCGCTTTCTCTAAACAACCTATCAGATATTGAATTGTTGGCCTTCGAATGCCATCCCGCGAATTTGTCTCTCGAATGCTAAGTTTTGAAGCCGGTAAGATGATGACTTCTTCAAGAGAACATCCATCTAAAAGATTAGAACACTTCAAGGGGCAACCCCCCTTATAGTATTCTTAATGCCATAATCTTTTTGCAGTGCCCTGCAATTCAGAATCATCATAGTCTTCAAAGTCGAAAACTTGGAAATTTCTTTGAGCAACATGTCTTTCAAGCTAATCGTTTTTTCCTTCTGCTTCATTGGCCTATTTACTCTCTTCTTCAGTATTGTGCCATTTGAAGACCTATTTGGAGCAAAGGGGGTTCTTTGGTTGCAAACAATGCATCGAGCCCTATAGGGTTAGTTGTAGACTCAACCAATGCCATCCTAAAAGTACATCGTCTTGAATTATATGCCTGCATTATGCTAGATCTCCTTTTTAAATCCGTTAGTCAAACATCGAATACAAAAGGACTCTCCTGACCCTGTCATTTCAAAGGAATTCCAACTTCATTGATAGTCAGAAAGATCGATTATCGATGTATCTATTAAGATAATGTAGAATGGTGTGATGGTGGAAGCTTGTTTTCTCTCCATTTTTGTTGTATAACCACCATGTTCGCCTTCAGTAAGATGTTTACATACCACACACCACACCAACAAACTTGTGCTATAGGGCTGCTACAGGGATAACTAACTTCTGCACAGTTGTTTGCTGGAGCTCTCTTTGATTTGACTCTCTTACTAGACTGTGATAAGTATTTGAGATACAAAAACAATTTCTTGTAAATCTATGAAATCTCTCTAATGCCAAATGATGATACTGTATAAAATAAAAAGAACGCAAATTCTATTAAGATGAGCTGCTAAACCCCCATTCAAATCCTTTTTTTTTTTCCTATATATTCACCCCACCCGAATAACACCCAAACGGTTTCTTACAACTCCAAGCCTAACGCAATCAATCACTAATTTGAATCCAAATGAAACTCTGATGCAAATTCATAAATCCACATTCCTAATGTTGGAAAATTGAAATAACGTAGCAGACTTGGAAGTTGATCTGATTACGCATATACTTATTCTCTCTTTTAACATGTGCGGTTAAGTACAAGAGTGGACGCTCTAACCAACGCAGTTTGATGAATAAAATCCACACTAAGATTAATAAAAAGGTTAAATTACTCGCAAGTTTTTATTTAGTAGAAAAAGTCTATTAATTAACACAATTGCTGAATTAATCAAAAAATTTAAGCTTTCAGCTAATATGCCTACATATAGTGATGAATATTTTGTTTTTGTGGATTTCCTTACTGTTTATATGAATGTTTTACTTATTAAGAAAATTTTGCTCTAGACCTTATTAAATTATGAGTAATGATCTTATGAGACCCTCCCACACCCATGTATGTAGAACTCCAAAAGATCACTATTAAATTTGACACAAATCTTTAAAAAATTATCACATGGGTGTAGGATTTGACTTTTCTAAAGGTTTGTGCCAAATTTAATGGTGATCATTTGAGGTCTTACACACATGGGTGTGAAAAGGTCTCATAGGATCATTACTCTTAATTATTGTATTAGTTGTAACATTTTACAACATGTTGACCATTAATAATACACGACATGGTAAAATGTACCCAAATCAGTCATAACTTGAATATGTTCACTTGATACTAAAAGCCCTCAAATCTTCCTAAATTACCAAGTATGGTTCACAAATAGTTTTTATAAACATGATGATAAGCTATCCTGGAAATCCAAAAAATCTTTGAGGAATGACATTCAAGTAATGACTGAGTACATGACATTCAAGCAGCTCGAAGCGACAGTGCCACACTTCTCTTCGCTTCGATTTACGCTTAAAATTTGAAGGCTTCAACCTCTTCGGCCAAAACGAAGTGAATTTAATAACATTGGCTGAAACACCGACCAGTTTCCTGTACACCCCAATAAAACATATTCATCTATTGAGAAAAACTCCTAAAAAGATAATGGAAAACTTTACAATGGACCATATGTAAAATTATACACATTGACTCATGGTCCAAACACCATCGATTTTTAGGACCATAAATTTTTCAATCTTTTTCATTCACTTTATGATAAATTTCAAAGAAAATAAAAAGTTACAACCTTGAAAATCTAGATGCTGTATTGTCCAAAAATAGGAGCTCCAAAACCATTGTTAGAGCAGGAATTGCTTCAAATAATTTATTTTAGCCTAATTTCACAGTTAAAAAAAAAAAATTCACATGAAAATTTTAGGGTCCAACCAGTTCCCTTAACCTGATGTTGGGTCCAGTGTAAAACTGTACAATATTAATGCACTGATGAGTGGAAAATAATATATGATACCAGTACAAAGAACTGGTAGCACACTATTTTGAACCTAAATGCTATCATAGTTTACAATCAACCTAAATGCTATCATAGTTTGCAATCCCGAAAGAAAATAAAATAAAAACCGTTCTTAAATGGATAGGAAGGAAGGATTCATTTTCTTTCTCCTTTTTAGTGAAAAATTTCCAGTCAAATGAAACCCAATTTTCCTCTTGATGGATTACAAATCTCAATTTGGTGAAATCCCATTATCCCCACATGTTTGGTGTGTCTCTCCCTAGTTACACCTCTCTTTTTTCTTGTTCTTTTTTTCACTACAAAAGGGGGGAATTTGTAAATTGTTTTTTGTGAGAGTTGAACCTCCAACATGCTCGAAAAACCATTGTAAACATCTTAAACACTATTTTATTGTGTTTTGAAACGGTAAAAACTATTTTATTATCTCACTCTTGTGTCAATAAACTCAATTCAGTTTGAGCCTTGGAGTTGCATTCTCAAAATGGGATAATTAAGCCCGTTTTCAAAATTCTTTACTTTATATTTCTTTTTTCTTTTTTTCTAAAAGCGGATGGAAAATAGTGAAAAAGGCGAATTTTCTTTGGGTACTTCAGCAATAGAGTTCGAATTTGGAATACTCTTTATTTTATCTTTTTTGGCTAGATAACTGGACATATTTACAATCTTAAACAGATTCCTGAAAAAGGAGGGCTAATCGCATGAAGGCCATCATTGGACGCTTAGTGGGTATAAAAGTGCACAAGATTTTCCAAATTGGCAAAGAAAGAAACATGACAAGGTTTAGGAAATGGTAAAGCTAAGTTAGTTGCAAGTAATGCATTATTTTTGTCATCTTGGAAAATTTCAAACCAAGTAACATATGACCTAAAGGAAAATGATACTCAGCTAAAGGCTCCAACATCAGAAAATAATATTTGCTTGGTATTTCTCAAAATTATAATATAATGCAGACAAGCCTAGCTGGCCATGAAATTTTGAACATGGCCCATCGAAAAAATCAAGCAACTGGACTGGTTTTTGTGCTTACTGTACTGAAATTCTTATAAAATTCATACTGGTCAAGTACCATGTATTGGGTATTTTGATTTTTTTTTTTCTTAATGGACTTCCAAATTCCAAGTCAAGGAACATACTTCTGTCCAAGGATTGTATATACTGTCCATATCGGCAAACTCTGAAATCCTAGGAGAAAAATGTTGCCATTCTTTCTCTAGCCCCACTTGTATCCAGAAGCGCCTCATACATAGAGGTGATGAGCTCCAATGCTGAGCCATAGAACTCTTGTATCTCCTTAAGCCCCTGAAACCTCCTAAGGCTTATTTTATGGCCCCTTCCAGACAAGAAGATGGCATACAAAAACTTAAATGAGAAAATACTATCTGTGAGCTATAACTTACAACATTTGGCCCAATAAAAATAGCATGACAGATTTTCCTTCATAAAGCATGTCCAAGCATAATATTTCTTTCATAAAGCATGTCCAAGCATAATCTCGACAGGTTTTCTTAAGCTCAATAACCTCCCACACCCAACGCTATTGTCCTGAATTAAAGTACTCTATGCCATATAAACATAAAACCCTCCAAAGAATTCAAGTCAAAAGTCTCAGATGTTTTTTGCTAGCTTGTAAATCTTGTGTCCTTTAACACATATATGATCCGTTTATAATAACGAGTATCAAACTGCACAATACTGAGACCATTCATCAATAATTAAACAGAGGCAATTACACAACATGTTAAAGGCTAGTTTTTCTCCAGCAGTTATGTGACAGTTGAAATGTTGATGCAAATTGATCGAGTGATCCCTTGAGAATATCACTTTTAGGTTTTCTTGTTCCTATGAAATAACTTAAAATACGACTAGTAAATAAGTAAGAAATTAAGCTGAAAACAAACCAGGCAAACTCACAAGGTGCTGTAACTTCAAACAGACTCAAAAGTGAACAAGGCCGTGTCCTAAAACTCGAAAGAAAAAATATTAAACCCGATGCTTCCTGAAGAAGGAAAAGATTCAGAAAAAGGACTCTAATATTACAGGTCAGTTCATTTTACAGCCTTTTCTATTAATGCCCAATGAGTCCCCACTTCATACTGTTTTACAATGAGTCCCCACTTATGTATCAATCATATTTTGGTGAAATATCAGCACTGTTCCTTTGTCACAGTTAAACAGGAAACCATAGGGGCAGATATCTAAAAGAAAAGTTCGCATCTATATGAATAAATAACAAGAGGTGTATAAAACAAAAGGGAAAAAAAACATAAGCTCATACAAAGCCTTACAAATCAATCTTGCCCTTGGACCCAGATCTTCACAGTTTTATCATTCCCTAGAGCACCAGAAGCGATTTTGTTGTCAGTGGGATGGCAGGACACAGCAATGACCGTATCAGTATGGCCTTCCAATCTTTGGACTATCTTTCTGGTCTGGAGATCCCATAAATACACGCAATTATCCTCTGAACCACTGACAATGTACTTTCCATTTGTCACCGAAAATGTGGAAGATATACAAAATTTTGAATTTACATGGCCTGTATATGTCTTCAGGAATTTACCAGTGGAGAAATTCCAAAGCCTCTGCAGATACAAAATGAAAATGTCATAATGTATAGATTTCGCTAAATAAAGATGGGAGAAACAAGATAGCATAATAAATTAATGTTAAACACAGCCATTTTATTTCAAAAGGATGAATTTAACATAATTAAGAGTAACAAATGTGGATTATGTCAAAAAATAGAAAACAAAAAAGAAAACTTATCAAATTATCCATAAGAGAGTAACAATTTAACATCTTACCCATATTTTTTAGTGAATTTCAAAATATCCATAGAAAAACACATGATCTTGAGTTGACATAGCTGCAAATGGGTAGAATGTTAAATAGTTCATCTCTCATGGATATTTTGACAAATTTCCCAAAAAAAAAAAGACATAAGAAATGCATTGTCATGTTCCAAGACCACCTGATTTCAATAAGGGAGTAGATTAGGCCACACATGTATTCGTAATCCACTCAACACAAAGGGTGGGCAAACTAGGAAAATATGTTGGGCCACATTGCAGACCATGATTTAAGTAGAAGATCCAAAAACAGAGCCGGTAGATGACAATTATTGAGTGGCCAAATCTACCTGGAGTCAATTGTGATCTTCTCCAAGGTTCACCACAAGAGAATTATTTATTGGATAAATACTTAAGACAGCAAAACAAAAATATTTTAAAGATAAATTAATTTCAGTGAAGTGAATGCAGAAAATAAAGATAAATTAAATTTAACAATGAAAGAAAACAGGAAAAGTGAGTCACAACATTGACTTCAAACCAAAATGGAACCTTGCACAAGAAACATATTTAATTCTCTTTTCTTGGCTTTCTTGTTTCTCAATTCTTAATATGATCAAATAGGTTTAACTTGATCCTAATAATCTTCCATTATAAAGATTAAAAAAAGAAGATAGTGAATGCCACCAACAGAATCCTGTTAGAAACCTCTCCCTAACTTTCCCCATGCTTTCATCATTTCAAATTCATCAAATGCCATGGATATCTTTTAACCACCACAGAGTCCAAACCAAGATAATATTTTCCTTTTCTTTTCCTTTTTTTGGCTTTCCGTTCCATACCAACATACCACAACTTCTAAACAGATGTGAAACTCAGAGGTCATATCCCTTCCAGATCAAGAGGTATTTTTTATTTTAGCACAACAGGCATTTTACCAGGGCATACACTTCCATGACTTCCAAAAATTGTATGTCATTCCTTAAAAAACCAAGAGTAAATTCCTTAAAATGGCATGATTTCATTGCACTAATGCCTCCTCTGTTTTAGACATGTTTGCAAAGCGTGTATGAGAAGATAAATAGTATGGTGTCCACTATGTATCTTGCAAGATAGGGGTGGCAGCTGGTGTGTTCAAAAGAAGCATATGGATAGTTCTAACTCAAATTTTCATCTCTCACAGGTTGTGGAATTCACTGTGTTTTCTCTCCATTGCAGTCTTGCCAAAGATCAGCACTGGTGGTCATTTCAAAATATATAGAGGATTCTGTAACCACAGGTGGATGGAATCTCTCAATTGGTCAGATAAGGATAAATACTTACTAATGGTCAAATAAGGTGGGTTTCCTTTATACAATGCAAGAGTTAGAAAACTTCCATATGTCAAATCCACCAGGCACCATACTAGAAAGGCCATTTCATTTCTCAGTCAATGTTATACTAACAGCTCACTTGGGGGCTGGTGTCATGTGTCAACACAGTGGAGACTTGGATACATGTTGACACAGCACCCGACATGCCCAACACGTGGTATGTACATGTTGCCAGTGTCAGGTATAATAAGTGGAGTGTTGAAACTTCTGCAAGAAGTGTCCACTTTAAGTATCACCCATCCCCTCACCAAAAAAAAAAAAGCAAATTTATTATATTTGAACGATTATACCTTATCTATTTAAGACTTTCTAAGTACAGCATATTTCCATAAAATTAGGATAAGGATCAGCCTGGACGACACCACAGAATACATTTTGACACCCTCTTATGAGAGCAGACACGTGGTCAATGCTCAGCGCTGATTTTCCTCAGAACTCCCTGTTGGGTAAAGGCACAAATGTAAAAAGCGGTGTTTTTATGAGTGAGATGACAACAGATTTTTCCTGTTTTCGTACCACTAATACAAAGCACTTCTTTGTGGGCCAGCCTGTCATTGACGGCCACAAAATCGGTTTGCTTCCAAACTGGTACAAAATTCTTGCTAATTTAAAGTGATTAGAGTCAATAACTTACCGAATAAATAGGATGAAAAGGAGGCCCAAACAACTTAAAGAGGAAGTCATTAGGAAAGAGGAGCATTTAATAGGTAAGTTATTTAGATTTTGTAAAGACAAGGAATAATCAATGGAAAAGTTTATATAAGGATGCAACATTATAATGTAGAACTACGAATGCCCCTCAAAACCCCATCGGAAAAGGTTGTTTTAATGTTGAAAAACCCTTTGATTGATCATCTCGACATCGAGATGTATGACCATGAAAAATAAAAAGATTTCAAGTCTCAGAATTAGTGCATTTTACAACAGATTATCTACACCGTCCATTTTCAATATTTTCATATGTTTATAGATCTACTTGAATTTAACCATTTTAGAAATTTAAAATTTTATAATTTGACATAAAAATCGATTTTGAGATAATGCTAAGAACATTTTGCATCAAATTTATATACCATGATAAAATTTGAAGGTGCACCTTACCTCTATAGCTACGGATGCATCCGTATGCGAACTGCCCCCATAATCAATAGCAAGTTACATTGGTAGGTGAGAAGCATTTCTTTAAGAAGTAGATCTAACCATTGAATACTTAAAATTCAAATTTAGGATACACAATCATATGGAAATTGAAAATATATTGCAGAATCTGAATTTATATTTTAGTATTCTCAGCTAAATTTTTTTTCATAAATAATAATAATTACTTAAATATTAAAAAAATAACTTAATTTATTAATATATGATCTATCTTACAAAGATGAAGAAATGTGTCTCAACATTTGACATAAATATGAGTTTCAAAAACTCTAAACCTAAAACTGGCATTGGACATAACACAACCAAACATCATTAAGAGTAGGGCGAAAGGGCATTTTAAGTAAAAGTAAGCACTTTCCTTTTTTTTTCCTTTTTTGACAAGGTTACATAGAAATGGAACTTGAGACGTAGGGTATGAAAACCCAACTGCTACCGTCTTGACCCAAGTCCGATTCCTAGTAAAATTAAGCAATTTCATAGTGACATTTCAACAAAAAGAAGAAAAGAAGGTTAAGCAAAAGTGTCAAAGTTTCCCAAGCATCAATGTAAGTACTAATTTTATTTTTTATTTTTTTGGGGTAATTCAGTGGGAAATAAGTCTCTTAACCATGGTAGGAAAGGAACTCAAGACATCATGATACGGTGACCCTCCACTTCACCACCTAGCATTGGGCCCATTCCTTCATACATGAGTTCCATCTAGGATATAGCACTCATATATGAGTGTTGGCTAAGATGTGGCTGCACTTGCCAAAAACCATGGCCACATATAAAGAAGTCACATAGCTTGTGAATTTCTAATATTTCGAATAAATGAAACCCTCAAAATTTCCCATCCAAGTAACATTTGCATAGTTAACATTTACCCATCCAAATAACATCCTGAATTTTTTGTTTTTATGTTGTTAACTGTTTGAATTTTTGCTTATAACATTATTTTATATATTTCTCCTTTCTTTTCTATTTCCTATTCTTCCATTTCTCTACTTAAAATTTTATATATTATTATAAATTTTTTATTTGCCAACTGCAGGGTTTGCTGCCTTGGACGAGTCGACTTAGACGCACCAAAGTTGGTTGGGCACGACAAGGTGCCAAGCCGTAAGTCCCTCAACTCGAGGGGTATATAAAATTTACTCGTTGTTCATCACAGGAGTGTTAATTTGAGCCCCAATTTTGCCTGTGGACTCGTTTTTGCGTGATCCATCCGCTAGATAATCAGATTTGAGCAAAATCCATCCTTGTTGGGTAAGTTCCAACCCGCATGAAGGGCAAATTTGATGGATTTGAGAGATCGAGTTTTGACCTAGGTTTTGCCGGATTTTGAAAGAAATCATAGAATTGTTTTATTTAAATTCATTTTTCATTTTCCATGTTGTATATACTTTTTTTTTTTTTATTTCCTCTATTTGTTTTATTGATCACCACTTTTAACGAATTTTCTGGATTTCTGGGAATCTAGGGTGATTTGGAGAAAACTCAGGTGAGCCAACTTAGACCCACCTGAGTAGTTCGGATTGCCAAGGGCCGAGTTGCATCCCTAAGCCACATTTTCAAAAGTTAGCTAAGTGATGATTTCATTAAGGGAAAATGTACACATCAAGTACCGCAAAGGCACCTACAAACTGCGATGTATATATCACAGGACAGTGCAAGACATAGAGATGGGAAAAATAGAAAGGAGAGAAATAGAAAGAAAGAATCAAGGGTGAACAGGTGAAAATAGACGAACAAGTGGTGAGATACTCTACGGGTCTGTTTGACAACTGGAAGTTGGTTGTTATCTAGAACCTGGAAGTTCCTTCTCCCTGTGAAGCTGAATTTGTTCTGGCTCCTAGTACTCAAAGGTATTGTGTTTGGTAACTTGTCTGAAATTTAGAGGGAGCCTGGAAACCTGTGTTTGGTATCACCTAGAATTTATCAAACCTGGAGACCTGATAATTAACCAATTTAATCCATTCATGAAAGAATTTGTATTTGGGGGTAATATTGATTTTTTAACGAGAATCTAATAGGTTATCCACAATAGATCAAGCAAGAAGAATGGATTTGTAAGTTACTAATGGTTTTATAACGATTCATTGTATTATTATTTATGTTTCCTAATTATTCTATCCAAAAAACCTCCTCTAACCAAGCTCCTTATATACAAAATATAATTCTTAGTGTCAATTGGATTTGCAAATTAATGTTATACGCATCAAATTGGACTGGTTTAGGCTTTAGAGAGAGGGAACTAGAGATATATACTACCTTATTTTC